ACTCAAATTATGAGACTAAAGGATTATATTTCTGGTATTGTTTTCCTGATAATAGAACTTTTTGCGGCAACTGAATCATTACACCAACATGATGGGGAGTTGAATATTTTAAAAAATTCAGTCATAACACAGCTTTTAAACTAGTATGAGTGAGACTTTGTTTTACTATATCCCCTATGCTTTCACTGTTAATCATACGGAAGAGGAAGCGAAACAGTAGTTGAACTGTAATAAAGTAAGTGCTACAATAGAACTAATCCCTAGTTTCTATTCATATGAACTGATGATGTAATAAAAAGAAATATGAATTTCTCTTTCCTTTAGATGTTTTGTGAATAAAAAACGAAATTTTACATATTTTAGCATCTGTTTTGTTGTAAAAGTTAAATTCTATTTGATTCATACCCTTGTTAGAAATTTCATTAACAGATTTCAATAGATATTTCTCTACATATATTTTTAACTGAAATTTTCAAATCTCTCTCTTATGGCCTCATTTATGAATTGATATGCATCTTGATAATTAAAATCTTAATTTGTAGAATCGGAAAATTAGCTTGAATATTTTGAAATAATGATTTATTTATTTGTTTTGACTTTTGAGTTGAGAATGTTTTAATAACGTATATCATTAGTTCTCTATTCGAATATTATTTCGTCTATGTTGTATCACAGTCATACAACAATTCTTGATGTAGAATCATTAAAAGGAAACATCTAAGAATTTGATTGATTTTTTTAATGGAAGGATTCGAAAATGTTAATATCACTACTGTAATAAATTGTACATTGCCCAAAAAAATAAATGATGTTGCTGTTATTTCTTTCAAAAGTGAGTCATTAAAATTTTGAATAACAGTATAATATCATACTTTTTGTGATCTATTATTTGAGATTGAAACCATTCTCATACATAGATTTAGTAAGAAATGTTACAGAGCAAAATGTACAGCTTTTGAAATTTACATATATAAATTATACACTTGATAGAAGAAGAGATTTAAAACTAATATTATAGAGTTTTGAAAACGAACTAGTTAACAATGCAACAGTTAATATAAAATATAATTGATTAGTAATAAATAAAAAGAGAAAGAAAAACAAAATAAAACCGGGTTAATGATGATGATGAGATATATTGTAAATTACATGAGATTACAAATAGCTGATGTTGGATTCAAACGATCGTTAGTTGTGTATGGTACGTAGACTTTAATTTCTTCGAGAAAAGTAAGATAGTCTTTTAAACTAAGTGTTGTTATAATTTGAGACCTAGAAACGTCTTCCTTTAGTGAAGAAAACATAGCTTGTTGGCTTGTTTGACACATATCGTAAACTTTATGCAATAAACGACCGTTCATTCCTTCGAAAGCTGGTAGAAGAATATTAAGTTCTTTATCAAGAAGAAACGATTTGACATGATCTTTAGTCCACATATCGATACAATGTGGATATTCCCTGAAATAAAACAAACAATTGATCGTATTTTAATTTGATGTAACAATGAAGTTTTCCTATAATAAATACAAGTGTAAGTCATTGTATGGGTAAGCCAGGATAGTTAAAAGTACACGGATGGCAGATTCGATGAAGATATTTTAAAAAAGGACACGAGAGGTTGAGAATTTTTCAAATCTTACTTTCTATTTTTGTATTTTAGTAATGACAACTTAACCGATTGGATCGCACCTTTCATAAGTACCAGTACAAAATTTCTGAGATATACCGAATCAAAATTTCTTTATCAATAAATATGAATGTAGAAAATCATTTTGCTATTTTAAAATTGACATGAACGTTATAAACATGATGCTTTTTTTTAGACTTTTAAGCGTTTATTCAGAAACGAAGACAAGACCTGTTGGTCACCTTTGTCAACTTATGTCACAATTTAAATTACATCTTATTAAAAATCATCAAGATCTCTGCATTTTATAAAAAGCACTCTCAGAACAAGTTGGCGAAATTTATTTTCAGCCGTCTAATACTTCTAATTGCATTATATGTTAAAAGAATACGAGCATTGCTACGTCCTTAATATGTTTATCGATAAAAAGTGCATGACGAAGTAAATTTACTAATTTAATTTCAAAAATTTCTGAATATCACCCTTTTTATAACTTAGAAGAAAAGTAACTCATGTCTAGCATAGCAATCCTCGTTCCAAAAATAGACTTACACAATAGGACGTGGCTCTTTATTATTTTCAGCACTTGGAATTGCTTTTGGTGCCACATCCACTAAAGAATTTAGATTATGATGGATTTGATTTTGTTCTACAGTTGTTGAATTCGAATTA